TGCTGCCAAGTCATTGTGTACCGCTGCCGGCCCTGTCGGGGAGGGGGGGAGCCTGCGGTGCCGGTGACTAAACCGCAGCTGGTAGAGCAGATGATCGTCACGCTTAAAAGTTTAAAAAAAAAAAAAATAATCCCGTGCTATTTTGAAAAAGAAATGGCGTTGTCAACCAAACTTTGTATTCGTGTGTAAGAAGTCAGAATGCCACCCTTCTTCTTCTTTGGAGAAGTTATAGCAATTTATTTTAACTCTATAAAACTTCACTGACTTTATAAATGGGAAGTAATCCTTGTGAGCCTTGCACTTAACTCAGGATGTGGTTATGTGGTTATTCTGTATGCCTAGAACACTTTGTTTTGTCTGTTTTTTTATCACACTGAAGTGTTACAGCTGTCTGAAGGCTGCAGCCTTAAAAAACAAAGTCCCCTTATCACAACGTTTTTTTGATATACCAAACCCTCTCTAAAAGGCTTTAAATTCAAGGAAACTCTAGACGAGTTGAAGCAGACCGAAGCTTATGTGTTGGCCATGAGCGAAAGGCTCCACCAAAGTATAGCAGTTAAGAAAGGAGGGCTTTGGCCGTGGTAGTAGAGAGGCTATTAAATAAGCAAATGATACATTCTTGGAAGTACTGTTGCCCGGCAAACAAACACTGGATGAAAGAGCAAGGTATTCTTGAGTTTTGGTCATCTGTAATAAGGGTTTAGTGTTTGTTGTCTGTTGGGGGGAGCGGGTTGGAGGGATGTGTTTCTCTTGAAGTTTGTTGCCAGTTTTTCTTGTCTGTGAGCTGAGATGTGGGTCTTCAAAATCATTGGGGGAAGGAGAATACTAATAATTAGACTCTAATTATGGAAGCTCAAGTACAGCTAGTGTTGGAGAACATATCTGCATTAGTGCTTCAATTCAAATCAAGGGTATGCTCTTGAAATGAGTTCCCAGTCATCCTCACTTGCTGCGTTTTGGTGTATATCATGATGTGCTCTAGCAATGTGTAAACTGCGTTCCTTTTGGAAGAGACTAAGACTAGAACATGTGCCTCAGTTGCTCATGGGTGTTCAGTCTAGAGCTGGTATGGAATAAAATCCACAAATATATGTATAGTGTGGATGCTGGATTCTCAGCAGCGGTTTATTTCCTCAGAGTGCTTATGTTCTTTTGTGTCTACTTGTTAATGTAGACATAGCCTGAGTCTGCCATCAGCAGCGCAGGTAAACTAAGTGTGCTGGTAGCCCATAAGGACTATAAGGGGCTGATCCTAAGCTTTCTGACCTGTAACTGTTACAGCTATTGCCTAAGCTATAGTACTTGAGGTCCATAGCTTAAAGTCTATATATCGACTACAGGAAGAAACAGTAAGCAAAAAAACCATGCATGGGACAGTTGGCAACAGCTTTTTTCAGGAAATCTAGTTTCTGCCAAACTCTTTTTTTTTTAAGGGCGTTATGAGCACAAAAGTGTGTTTGCTCTTTTGTCTCTAATAAAACTTTAACTATGCTGGCTGCCATAGCGATAGTCTACCTGCCAAAGGCTGTATATAGGTGTAATAGTACTGATTATTTAAATGGTCTGTGTGATTGTGTTTCAGCATACAATGTTTTTTGGCAGTTGCTGGGAGAACTTGTTAGTTGCGTTATGCTTGATGCATTTAGTCCTGAGCAATGTGGTATTATATTTTTTGTTACTGAAAGGCTCCCAAACTTGGATTGTTTCAAAATGGCTGTAACAGTGTGTATGTACAAATAATTTTCCTTCTCACAAGTGTTTTTGTGACCAAAACTAGGTTTCTGCAAATGTTTACAGTAATGAATGAAATGCTATGTGTTTGTTTTTAACCTGATGCAGGCATTTGGTGACTTGTTTTTTTTCCCTTCCTACATTCACCTATCCTTTGTGGCACTATGTTGAATTGATGTTGTGCTCATATTGCCATCACTGTCGTTCTGATCTCTTTCTGTTCTGTCTAGAAAGGTTTAAAATATTCTGACTTCTGTTGCCCTCTTAATCTTCCTGTGAGTCCTCCCTTTCTAAGTGAACCAGAGTGTGATAATTACTAACAGCCTCATAAGGAATGCCATTTATGACAGAAACTGCAGTTTTGCAAACTCTCTTTTTAACACTTGCCCTGCCCCAAGACGCTTGTGAATTGAGCGCTCAGTGTCCCTGCGTGTTGGATAATTGAAGTGGGTTATGGGGGGTAAGCTGAACAACTGATAGACAGAGTGTTGGACAGAGTGGTTTTTTTTTTCCTCTTGCAATTCTCCTCCCTGAAAACTTTCTTCTCACTTTTATTTTAGACATGGGGAAATCTCTTTCACATCTGCCTATGCACACATGTAAGGAAGATGCCTGTGATGGAGGTACAGGATCTGATAACATGCGGAATGGTTTGGTTCACTCGGAATCCCACAATGAAGATGGCCGATGTGGAGACGTATCGCAGTTTCCATACGTAGAGTTTACGGGGAGAGACAGTGTAACTTGTCCTACTTGCCAAGGAACAGGAAGAATTCCCCGAGGTAAGTCTTCCCTTCACCTCCAAAATTACCTCATAACAGCGTGTATCAAAATCAGTAACAAATACCTCTGCTTCTAAAGCTAGTTTCTTTGTAACCTTCTTGACTTTCTAGCATTAAGCATTTTGTTATGATTACGCTGTAATCAACATAAAATTGCTGTTACCTGAGATGGTGGCTCTTCTCTATGCAATTCCATGCTTTTCAAAGTTAAAGTTACGTAACGCTAGTTCTCCTAAACTGAATTTGCAAACTTTTGGGACTTTAATACGTCTCTTTGAGCTACCATTTTTAAACCATTTGAGTCAATATTTAATTCTGCAGAAATAACTACAATATAGAGCAAGTTTTAAGTGTTGCTGGGATAGGGGGAGAAAAGACATATGTAGGCCTATGTAAGTGAAAGTTGATCTCAATTTTTTTAAATTCCCCTCCCACCACCCAAAAAACAAATCGTTCTATAAGGTTTTTATCTCAAGACTTATGAGGAACAACATAAAATCCCACAAAACTATAGTTGCTTTTATTTCCGTTGGCCTGCTTCCCTAAGGCCAACATAGTTAGCATTATACCTGTTGCCGTTTTAAAATATCAAGTTGTCATTCTGAAAGCAGTGCTTAGGTATTGTTCATGCTTGGAGGAGAATCTCTTGCTTGTTTAAAGCCACGTATTGAGCACCAAACCCTGGAAAGGTTTGTTTGAAAAATACAACTGAAAAGCATAATAATCTCCTGCAGCGTAACAATGTCTGGGATATCCCTTGTCTTTTTGTTGCCGGACAAAATGCATTCAGTACAGCTTTGTTTTAAACGAAAATTCAGATTGTCAAAGTTCTCCAGCACCTAACGAAATGTTCTGAAATACAAACCCTGTATGTGCTAAATATAATTCAGAGCTGTAACTTGCTTTAAGTTTCAGGCTTTCATGTGGCAAAACTCTGTCTATTCTGAGGATGATTAAGTTGAAAGATGAGTGTCATGTCTTCGTGTATTCTTCAAGGTACTGGATTTTTAAAAGGGAAAGTTGAAAACTTGGTTGGTGTGTACTGCTGAGAAATCAAAAAGTCAACCTGTGCTAGCACCATCCTCCAGTGCTACTCGCTGATCGTGTGTAGCAGGCTTTCCTGCCCTATATGGTGACTCAGTTGTATAACTAATTAGAACAGATCTTTTAAAGGAGGATGCAAGGCATCCGAAATTAGGCAGAAGGAGAGAGTGGCAAATGCAGTATGCCAAAGCAAAACCTTTTTCTTCAGGTACAAGGACCTCTTTATAAGAGGAGGGGTGAGGGGCGTGGGAAAGCTTTGCCTTTTGTGATTGCCTTGCTTTTGCTAGAACTTTTACTAGAATTGGTCAGATTATTTTTTATAAAAGCTCTCAGGACCGATTTTGGCCTGCAACTTGGGAAAATTGACTGATGCCTTTATGCTATGATTTCCCTTGGTTTTGGTTTCAGTGTCTTGGGAAGAGTGGTAAGAAAACATTGCTTCCTAGAGAAGTCTTTTCTGCATTAACCCTCTCTTTTTTTCGGGGAGAAAGGAGGCAAAAGGGGGAAAAAAAACCCAATCTCTTAATGATCAAACACTATTTCAGATTTATTCATTGAAGAATATTGAAAGTCAAGCTATATGGTGTTTAAGTTCTCATTTTCAAACCTGCATTTCTGTGAATGTACTACTAAAAAGTAGTGAATGTACTAGTGAACATAATACTAAAAAAAATTTTAATAAGCCTTTTCTTGGAAATGTGACTTCCTTAAGCATGTTAATGCACTGAGTTGCACTGACTTACAAGGAACTTCTAGGTAGCTGTGCTGCCTGAAGCTTCTGTTTTTCCCAGCAGCCCGTAGCTGTTCTTTGGTTAAGCCACTTGTGTTAAACCAGAGGCAGGGGAAGCACATTGTCGCTTTGCACATGTGTCAGTTGGGTTAGGTTTTGATATATTTTTGCAATTCAGTCTCCAATAGTTCTGTTACTCCTGGGAATAAGTGGCAGGGCAATCATGAGGATAGACTTTGCATCTAGGTGCTTAAACTTAATTATACAACGTACTTGGAGTGCCTCTGCCAAATGTAGGAACTCTGGTGGTGGTGGGGAAAAACAAGCAACTAAAAATATCTCAACTGAAAGACTACAGAAGGAAGAGTCTATGTTCTACTGGCTTGCTAATTTGAAATATCTGATTATAGTGAAACTTGTCATTATTATGATTATCATGAATGAAAGTGCTGTAGTATTGGGATCCTGACCTCAGACGCTTATTTCATCAACTGGAGGATGCTTAAATGTAACACTTAAACAAATGCGAGTAATTTATTAAAAATCGTGCACTAACTATTAAAAATATGTTGTCTATAACTTATAATGAAATAATGTAGCTAAAGGGAGAACTTCACCTGAGTTACTAGAACAGATAGGGCTGTCTCTTTAATTATTCCTCAGCGGTTAAAAAAAATGGTTTTGGTTCCTCTTGAGGGGAGGTAAAAAGAAAAAATGTTCACGGGATGACTTCATGACTGATAGGGAAGACCACACCATGTATTATGATGGCTAAACTGTATAGTTGTGTCTTGCTACTTGGTCAGCTTTAGCTTTTTGGTTCAATAAAGCATAAAAGTAGGACTGTGCTATTTTATGAATGGTTGAAGATACCTCACTGAAGTTGAGATGCAAGTCTGTTTTAAATTGGCAGGTTTTTTAAAGTAGTTTCAAACTATATATGTATGCTTCGCTTCTCATACGTTGCTAACATGTTCAGCTTTGTTCTTGTTCTAAACACTCAGTTAGGACTGCATGGAAAATGTAAAGGTTACAGAAGTTCTAACAGAAAAATAGACCCCTGTACGGAATCCTTAATGTACTGTGAAACTATAGCTTGGAGTCACTAAGTGACTGCCGAGCAAAGTGGTAATGCTGGTCACATTCTTTATTTGATTTCTAGAACTACAAATCTGACTAGCTCTTGAGCCTTCTCTTTTTTTCCGTCCTCTTGTATAACAAATAGCAAAAGCTCTAAAGGCAGATGTAATCCATGTATTTTCAACAAATCTTGTGTGCTTGTGTTCTTGAATTATACTACTAAAATAGCCCCTCTCTTTAAAAAACACAGTCAAGAGAAGTAACTTGTTGACTGGAGAAATTAAAGTAGATTCTTTTTGACTTCCCGAGTGCTGAAGTTCAGTCAAATAAGCAGTGGTCCTATATACCAGTAATTCCTAGACTACTGTATAAATAGCTTTACGAAAGCCACCCAAATTGATATATACATTTGCTTAAAACCAAACCTGACTTCCTGCTTTTCTTAGAGGAGATGAAGAATGCCTTTTGGAACAGTTTTTGCTGCCTGAGCTTCTATATGTATTCTCCTATGGCTTATGTGGCCTGGTATAGAGAGCTAAGAGCTGCTACTCATCTCCCCTTTTTTTTTTTTTTTTCTTCTTTTTTCTTCCCTCAGGCAAATGGTGCCAGAGGCATACCACCTCCTGTACATGTGTACAGGTCTGCACAAAAGCAGAATCTGTTGCTGTTTTGATCTTTTTCAGCTTCATCTTTTTTTTTGTTGTTGTTTATTATGTTAGCTATACTCTATTTGAGAAAGTGACATGGGTGCATGAACTACTATAGTATTCTACTGGGGTTGCTAGCTGAAATATACTATTTCTACTAGAATTTGAATACTTATTTTTAGTCTAGTGTTAATTCTTTGGTGCTTTTAAGTTGTTACAGGCACTCTTTGTTTGAAGTAACTGCAAAAAATTCTTTGTGCATGTTTAAATTCTGAAACAAAAAAATGTTTTTTGTTTCTAGGACAGGAAAATCAGCTTGTAGCACTAATTCCATACAGTGATCAGAGACTGAGGCCAAGAAGAACGTAAGTTAATGGCTTGCTGTGTGTTATATGTGAAGCTACTTAATTCCTCTCTTCCTGTTAAAATATAGCATTTTAAGTTGATGTATTAAAAAAACCTACAAAATCACTGAAATGTTTTCTTACACTCAATATTTAAAGACCTCTGCTCATGAAAAATATTAGCCTCAACTTTTAACTCTACGTTATTTATTAAATAGGTGTATGCACTCCCATCACAAGATGTCTGGGGAAGTTAGTAGTACTGTATGATCCCTCCACACTTCCATAATTATTGTAGATATTTAGGTTAATGTCTTTCAGTCTCAATCTTGACTGATTTAAGCAGATACATCTGCATTGTCAAAGTTTAAATCTGAGTGGAGCAATAACTTCTTTGGGCGGCTACCACTGAATATTTCAACAAGAAATTAATTAATAAAACTGATTAGCTAGCATGACAGACAAATTCATCATTCTAATATAGTGTATTTAAAAAAAACCCAGGATCTATTCAGCTGTTTAATTACAGTGCTAAAGGCTTATTGTTAGTTGGTCTCGCACAATATTTTTGCTCCAAATGTTTAGATATTTCTGTAGTACCTATGAAAATAACTCTAGCAGATAGGAGGAAAAAAAAAAAAAACAATTTCACTTAATACTACCCTGGATCATAGATTTGATGTAGTAACAGGCCAGACTTGAAAAATATTCCTTCAGTGTCTCTAATTTTGAGTAAATCTAGAGCTGTGGTAGAGCCTTATATTCATATACATCTTCCCCCCTCCCACACACACACACACTTTTTATAGAAGGGTAATTGTGAATTTGTTTTTCCTTAGCACAGGTTTAACCAGTTGTTAATGCTTTCCCAGGGAAAAATTTCATGAGACTATTTCATTAAAAAGAATCCCATCCAAGGTGTATAAAAGCATGATCTTTCTGGGTGCATTTTGGTGTATGCTGAAGAATCTTGCAGGATGTAAGGCCTGTGGGG